GCTGAGCTTTGGAGTGGGCTTATAAAGGCTTTTTTGTTGTCCCTGCATTGCTCTTTGCAAGGAGGGGTTCAACCTCTTATCTGAATTATCCCAAATGATCTGCTCTGGTTTAGAAGCCCTTTGTTCCTCCAAGGAGCCAAGTGGCAAACAAATAAACACATAAATTCTTCCTATTGAAGAAAACTGCCTTTTCTAGTTGATGAAAACGAGGCTTTCTTTTTGCATTGTTCAGTCTTTTTTATTTTTTATTTTTCTTCCTTTAGCCTTGAGCTCCAACTCTGTGCTCTGTCTCCAGCTGCGTAAAATAATTCTGCTTCCCTCTTGTGCCTTTTGTCTGAAGTACGCAGCCTGCTTGCTCTCCTCACTCTGCAGTCGGTCATTTAGTTCTGTTTTGCCAAAGCAGAAAGCAGCAGTAGTTAATTAAGACTGAATATTTCCTCTCTTAAGCTATGCTGCAAGACTTACCTATCCTGAAAGGACTTAGTCTACTCTTAGACAAAGCGTAATAGACAGATGTGACAAAGGAAAAGGTGTGGACAGGACAGTGGTAAGAACGTAGATTTAGTGGCAGGGGATTTAAAGCCTAGAGGCACTTTTATTTGTACATACAAATATTTCTGATGTGTATATATCTGTAATCTTTAAGGCATAATGAATAGTACTGCACCACTCAACTTGTGCATTCAGCATAATAAGCAAATGCTTACGGGAATGGATGTGCTACCATAATGTTCATGGGAAGTCTGTAATTCACTTAATTCCTGCTTGCTGATGATTCCTGTGAGATGGAATGAGTCGCTTTGCCTTTCTGGGCCTCAGTTTGCCGTCAGGGTGGTTGCAAGAAGAAGGATTTGGGACAGTGAGCTGAAACTTGAGAGTAGTGACATACTGAGGACAGTGGAAAAGGAAGGGGCCAGGCTTTCCTTGGATGTCTCAGGCTGATTTTTGGCCCGTGAAGAATGCCAATCCATGGAAATGATTGGTTGACAGTCAATGATGGGCCTGCAATGAGTGGCTCAGTCCTGCCTTTCTCTTAGTCCTCCTCCTCTCCTAGACCCAAAGGCATGTTCCAATGAGGAATCTGTCCTGAGGCCTTGACTCAACTGGTGTCAACTGGTAATCCCAGATGCTTTATGTAGGCTGTGACTGTGCTCTTGGCATGTTGGGGTAACACTGCTTTATTGGCAGACTGATGATGATGGTTGAAGGCTCTTTGAGACAGTCCAGGAAATTCCTGCTAGGGGGTTGTGATGTTGGCTTCATCTCTGGATTCAGGCCCACCCACTAACCTGCTTTGATCTGTTTCTGTGAGATTTGCTATTATGTTTTTGCTTCATTCTTTTTTTTTTTCCCCTGCCTTGGCCATTGCTGCTCAAAAATCATTCTTCAGAGCACAATTGTTTTTTTTTTTTTCCCAATTTCCCCATAAAGGGCTTTTTATATCTTTTTCTGAGACAAGATTGAGAACAACCTCAAGAGGTCATGCAGGCCCATAGCAGAGTGGGACAGCTGCTATCAACGTTTTTCCAATTTATTCTTCAAAATATACCACAGCAGGGATTGCCAAGCCCTAGCAAAACCATCCAGGGCTTCTCTGATATCCCCTTCTTAGGATAATCCCTTTGCCATGGGGGTGAAAGGGATAAGGAGCAAGAGTACAAGGCAGCCTTGTACTTCCCCCCATCCTGAATCTTCCTCTCCTCCATTTTGCATCCTATAAACAAGGAAGAGAGAGGCAGGGCTTCATGGAAGAGTTTGCAGTTTGAATGCTCCAAAATCAGAGCCTGTCAAGCGTTGGGAACAGACCAGCTCTCTGTGTATGTAGGTCAACAGTTGCAGTGTGGATGTGATGTTCCTGTATGTAAAATACAGAGAAGATCATCTGTCCACTGCAAAATACAGATGTCAATGCTGAGTCACTGGTCCAGGCTGTTTCTGCAACCATTTCCCTCCACTAAATGCTGTTTCCCAATCTTTGATTTTACATGGGCAGACCTGAAGGATATGAGAAGGGAGCTAGCCTAGTACAATCCATTCCCCTAGTGTAGGGGATAGACCACATTAGGGGGTCTGCCATGTAGGAAATCATGCTCATTTGTTCTCCCTTTGCCCCAGGTTAGAACAGTTAGTTGCCTATGCTGCCATCATACTGCTATGACTCCCTGGGTAGCAGGGCAGTACAAGTCCTTGCAGGCCTTGTTGAAATGCTGGGCTTGCTCTTGCTAGCAGATCATTTCTACCATGTGTTAGCTTGAGCATAGCCTAAGCTTTGTGTCCTGCTGCCAAAGGCACACCATGAAAAACTCAAACCTGTAGTCACATCACACCTGGGGCATTTCCCATCAGTGACCACTGTGGCAAAAGTGAGTAAGACTAAATTTCAGACTCCAGCCTGCAAGCCTGAGCTTGTTTTTGTGTTTCAGGTCGACATGGATCTGCTCTTGGTATAAACAGGCTGTGAAGTAGCAGGCAGACCTGCAATTGCATGGAGACTTTTATTGGCCAACTAACCTGAGTCTCCAGCCAAGACCTTAAAATGTACTCCTTCTGCTTGAACCCTTCACTTGGCCAAATTTGGGGAGCAAAAAGCCTGTCACAGATTAACGCAACAAGCGTGGTCTTTGGCTGGGTGCAGTGAGTGCTGAGTGTTGGAGATGGGAGTCACAGCACAGAGATCTTCCCACTGGCCCTTTGCTAAGATGTGCCTTTTCCTTGCAGCCCACGCTCTCGTCTGCTTTTCGTGCTCGGATGCATCCTCCAACTGGGCCTGCCTGACACCTGTCAAGTGTGCAGAGAATGAAAACCACTGTGTGACAACGTATGTCGGAGTGGGAATCGGTGAGTGGTGATGAGACTTTCTGCCCTTCTTAGCTGGATCACCTAGGGAGGCGCAAGAAGGTTTTCTTTCATTTGGTTGGAGAAAAGAGAAAGTGAGGCTTGTTTGCTGAGTGCCGGACCATCTCAAGGGTGTTTTATGAGGAACTTGCTGCCAGACCAAGTCATGTTAAGGCCCACGTGCATGCACTTGTGCTAGGAGTCTGAAGGGAATTTAGGAGTGGAGAGAGAAGGTTGCTGATGAATTAAGGAAGGTTACCCTTCCTGCTTTTGCCCTGTGCTGACTGCTGTTCTGGTTGTTATCTCTGAGTCCTTCCATTGCTTTGCTCTCTGGGTGTAGCAGGATTGCCAGGAATTTGCAAATTTCTTCACCAAGCATGGGCTTTTGGCATAAGGGAACAGGCACCAGGAAAAATCTGAAGGATCTCTCAGGAAAGCAGGCTGCTCTGGTGGGTCTCCTGATGGTATTGCCAAGCCTGCACCCCACTCTGGGTTGCCTCACTTTCCTCCAGCCTCTGCTTCTGGCATGCAGGAGGGAAGACAGTTTCAAACCCAAGTTTTGCAGTCCATAATGTGGGCGGCTCGTGCATGCATAAACAGGGGCTGGAAGCTTTTATAAACCTGTCACTTGCTAACGGCTTCCTGTTTCTTGTTCTCACTGGTAAATGCAAGCTGTGCCAAGCTCAGAACACAGTGTTTGCTCGTGAATCCCTCTCTGACTCTCCCAGTCTCACCTGAGGATTAAGCTTGAATGGGATTTTTGAGATTTTTTTCCCCACCACATTTCCAAATTCTGTCCAGCTGCCTGGAAGAGGTGCTGTGTATTATGGAAAGTCAGCGGGAATGTTTATTGAGGCAAAGATTGATGTAGTTTACTGAGAAACTCAACAACTTCTATGCTGCTTGTCTATTCAGTACAATTATTTCCTTTGCAAAATGTGATCTGAAAGCTGAAAAGTTTTAAACTCATCTCCTTTCTGCTTTTCTTCCCAACCTAAATTCAGGTGGCAAGTCTGGCCAGTCCATCTCCAAAGGCTGCTCTCCCATTTGCCCCAGTGCTGGGATTAACCTCGGCATTGCGGCTGCCTCCGTCTACTGCTGCGACTCCTTCCTCTGCAACATCAGCGGCTCTAGCAGCGTTAAAGCCAGCTATGCTGTCCTGGCCTTGAGTATCCTGGTTAGCTTTGCCTACATCCTCAGGGCTCGCGAGTGATGGGGAAGGCCAAAGAAGACCCAGCGCCCGGGGACCTCTGCACCTCTGCAACATGGCGCCTTGTCTTCCATTGGCCATCACAGGTCTCATTAGCTGATGTCTTCTCTATTGCTGCCTACAAGGAGATCTTCTACTTCTCAACAGGCTTCCAACAGTGATTGTTTCCCAGACTTTATGCTCTTCCAGTATCAGAGACCTGAGTGGCTGGGCCTAACCCTTCTCCTCCTCCTTCGGACATAACCCACTGCACTCTAGCACTTCCCGGTGGATTGTTTTGGAAAGGTTTCTGCTTTTTTAACCTGTGCCCCCAGTTTCTAAGGTTGCTTAAAACAAGGTTGGGACTCACTGAGAAGCAATTGTCCCCAGACACCGCTCACTCAAGTGTTCCGATGGTCCTGGAGGTGCCTGGCACCAGTGTGCCCCAACATGTCCCCCCAGGCATGGGGAACGCATGACCCCAGTGGAGACAAATTCCCAACCCCTGCAGCTGGAGTCTCTTTTTATAAATTTCTTCCAATCTCGGGCTGACTTTTTCTGGAAAACAAATGACGTGTACCTTGTCCCTCTGAGCTCTGTAAGTGCCAGACCTGAATAAACATGCTCCTGTTGTTACCTGAGTGGGGATGTGTACTGTGTGTGTTTCCTTGCTGCCACCAGAGAGATTAGGAACACTTGAGGAAAACTCAAATATTATGCCCAGCATGAGAGCTTCTTACCCTCTCAAGTGTTTTTTGAGCACTCCATCTCAGCAGTTCACCTCTGAGCAGCGAGTCCACCTCCTCCCTGTCCCTCTCTTTTCTGAGAGCCCTGATAAAATACCCTTTGGCCAGCATGCTTCACATCCGTTGGGCATTGCTTTTTCCAGGTGCATTTTTGTGAAAAATGCCCAGTCGTTGGTATCTGAGTCAACCCTATTACTCCTAACACTGCAAATTAGACTTGTACAAGTTAGTCTGCGTGATGAAGAGACTTGGTGCCTCAATTTCCCTGCTTACAGACTTGGGATCATGATAATGGATAACTTCAATACCTGAATAAGCCAGGGCCAAAGGTCTGTTTGCAAAATGTAATGAAGTCTGAGGTGAAGAGATGAGTATTCAGAAATTTAAGTTTAAGCTGCAATCCCTGGATGGTTGACGGTGTCTGGACTACAGAAGGTGACTTCACCAAACCTGCCACATCTGCTGCCTTCCAGATCCCAGGATTTTGTCAGATCTCTCCACTGCACTGCTCCTGGAGGCTTTCAGCCATCCCATGGGAGACGTGTCTTCCTGCTGCCTCCATGTTTTACTGGTTTCCTACCTACTTTTCCTACCTGCTAGACTCAAAACAAGTCAAAAGTGAGCCTTAATCTTAGGCAAAAGCCTAAGATTCCACAGTTTGATGAGAAGTGCACTGGGCTTTTTTTCTTTTCTAGCAGCAAAATTTGATTGCAATATTTGGTACTCTTCAGCCTTGCCCTCCTTTCCTTTGATTGTGTTTCTTCTATTTTGTGTCAAAAAGAAAACGAACTCCCAAGTGGCACACTCTATTCAATTATATACCTCTGTCCCCACTTAAATTAGTAATGAACAACTTATCAATGAAAGATGTGTGCAGTTGTATAGACATCTTACAACAAAAGCATTATTATGTCTTTGCTTCCTTTCCTTTGCTCCCCATCTATTAATTAAACTGTCATAGAGGCTAATGATGGGGTATACAACAGGAATGGCTGGTCATCGTGAGTGCAACCCACAATTAGGTGATGAGTCTGGTAAGAACGCACGGTACTCTATTATCTCACTAGGCTTGAGATGTGCCTTCCTCTGCTTATCTCAACCTCCATCGTCATCCAGGTTTAGCAAGGCTCAATTCTGCTCGGGGTGCACTGTGATCCAGTGTCCAGACCTCTGCTATGTGCATTAGCATGTGGCAAGCCATGGAAGAATTTCACAAGGGTGGGGCAGTTAATATCCCCTAGCTTCCTTGCACCTAAGCCTTCAAGCCTCCATCCTGAAAGGGTTAGAATCCCTTTTTTTTCAGGATAAGGTTGTTCCTCACTGCTTGGTGTGAGTAAATGCTGTAGTTCCTGTGGGATAAATGCAGATCAAAGGGATGGGGTGCTATTATGTGAGACCAAGGCAGCACCTGGAGTGTTCTACCCATCAGCAGTGGGACTCTGGCTCTTCTAGCTACCTGCTAATCTTAGTTTTGGACTCAAATTATCCTTGCAACAGCAACGGAATAACTAGATTTAAAAGCCACCAGCATAGTTATGTCCTAATACATGTTTGTGCCTTTGCAAGGCTGCCCTGAGGCTCTCACACCAGAGAATGCCTTGGGATAAAGCTAAGAGCAGGATTGGAAGGCATAGTCACTTCTTCCAATTATAGAATTACAGAATATACTCTACTCAGGACCACCTGAAAATCAGACGAATGGCCCATTTGTTCTTATTTTGGCATTTTAAAGTTTCCTCATAACAAGGAATTGCTTACACAAAGGAGCAAGGGAGCAGAAAGTATGGTCAGCAGGCTATATAACCTATAGAAATGTTATATTAATGGCATTGCCAAGGCATGTGATCTGAAGGTTAACTTGCACATGTTCTTAAGCATAAAGATGGTAAATAGATTGCATATGGAGATATTTTTTTCTTCCTTTTTTCTTCACTCTCGTTTTCTGTTTCTCTCCTTGCACGGTATATTCTTGTACACTTAGTATGGAGGAGAAGAGAGATTTGCAATTTTTCCTTTCAAACACAGCTGGTGAAGATCACTTTGATTGATATGTGTGCATTTGAGACACAGGGAGGGTATAGCAGCCTGTCAAGTTCAAGAGATGTAATTCAATAGTTTAATTCCAGGCATCATATGAACAGTTCTCACTGTAGATATTTTTTTGCACCTGAATCTCCAATCACCTGAAATCATGCGAGAACCTCAGCTGTCATAAAGCCCAGAGGTAAAAAGCCTCAAAATATGCAAATGTAGTAATTAAAAACATTAACAACATGAAGAAAATAGAGTAAGAACCAAGCATTTACAGAGCATTGAAACTGGAGGCATGTTAAACCAAATGGCTGATTTGGAGCTGGAGGGCCAGCCCTTAAATGCTTTGCATATGTTTACTTGGTTGATGGAATTAGAGATTGAAATCTTTGCGAAAATCTCAGATCTTCACCTTTTCTGACCAGAAAAAGGTTTTAAGGGGAGACAGCTTTGCTTTATATAAAATACCCTGGAGCAATTTTTACTGGAAAATTTGAACAGCTTAGGTCAAAAACTGCCCACTTTGGAGCACGCTAATGATAAAATGGTTTCATAGAATCATAGAATGGCCTGGGTTGAAAAGGACCACAATGATCATCTGGTTTCAACCCCCTGCTATGTGCAGGGTCGCCAACCAGCAGACCAGGCTGCCCAGAGTCACATCCAGCCTGGCCTTGAATGCCTCCAGGGATGGAGCATCCACAGCCTCCTTGGGCAACCTGTGTTTCTGTGCTTCCATTCTGGAAATAGCTGTATTTCCAATGGCAGCTGCTGCCACCCACCACTGTGTTAACGTCACAAGGGCTCCCATTTTTTATGTATTGTCTGTACATGCTGTACACTGCAGCACCAGTGCTTTCTGCTCAAATTCAACTGGGTTTGCCATTTGCTGAAAGGAGGACTTAAAATATGAATAGTGTTCTTCCAAACACTGGTTTGAGATTCTTTTCTTGCAAAAGGACAGACCTTCTCCCTTTGGAAAATAATAGACTTCATGTGACTTCCTTGAACAAACAGCCAGAACAAATATTGCCAATTGTTTGATCCTGATATGCAGAGGATGTCCTTGCTTGGTGCTGATTCATTCAAGTTGTGCATTACTTGACATAACTTTCCTCCTGGAGACTTTTGCAATGGAGATGGCTGTGGTCCCACCAATCCTGCAGGATGTGTGGAGGTTGTGCTTTCATGCTGGAGTGAGATAAAGCTGTCCATTTCTGGGGAAGGCAGGTGTGATACTCATCTGGATGCGTGGATGTTTAGAATGCTGTTACAAGACCCTCAGTCTTGTGAACTCAGTGATTTGCATGCTGAAGTTGGGTTCTTTCACTGCAGGTTATGTGGGTCTTGAGTATTTTCCTTTGATGAACTGCCTTCCCATCTGAAATGCTGTTTTTTGAGGGTATCAAGCTGAATCAAAGCTAGACATGCACAAATGCACTGGACATTAGGAAGTATTACTTTTCAGAAAGGGTGGTCAGGCACTGGAATGGACTGTCAAGGGAGGTGGTGGAGTCACCGACCCTGGGGGTGTTCAAGGAAAGGCTGGATGTTGTGTTGAGGGACATGGTTTAGTGGGAGCTATTGGGAATAGGTGAACAGTTGGACTGGATGAGCTTTTAGGTCTTTTCCAACCTTGCTGATTCTATGCTTCTATGATTCTATGATTCTGTGATTCTATAAATCTGCATTTTGCTGGTAGCATTTATGGTGCACAGTCAAGCAAAGCCCTGAGTCAACCCTGCCATCTACTGGCTTTTGCTAGACCTGATAGAGATGCTTTGAAGCCAAGATCTCACAGGTCAAGGAGAAAACCTTAATACAAATGAAACAGAGAGTCGGGACCCAAGGGGGAACTACCTTTAACCACATAATTGCATGCAAAGCAGAAAATGAGAGGCTTCAGAAGTTGATGGCGTGTATTAGTTTGTCCAACTCTGTGCTGTTAGTGTCAATTGAGAAATAAAAAGATAATAGGCTTCCCAGGTCCAACGTTTTCTGAGCACTTTTCCAGCCTCAAACCTACCAGTTAATCAAAACTGAAACACTTCATGAAAATATAATAAGGCCAATAAAGTGTTGCAGAAAAAAAAAAAATAATACATTTTATTTCAGCTTTGTTGAATGATCTCATTTCACTGAGATGGTTACCAAGAAATGTCGATTTTACTAATGCATATATGTGAGCTTTGTAATTGCGTATTACCTTTATTGTAACAGAATAAGCAGAATAAAAACATATTGATTTCTTTCAATATATTAACATAAATATACGTGTAGTGTACATTACATATTGTTTGTTATACTCTAATAAAATGATATGAAATTAATAGAAAAGTTATGCTTCGAACAGTTTCCTTTGGATGGTTCTGAGTTATTCATTACAGAGTATTGCTTTGGATTGGATCCAAAACCCAGGATTGGGAGTTGCAGGCTGGCCACAAGGAGCACAGCCATGAATCTGAGCCTACAGACTTTACAGAATCACAGAATCACAGAATCACCCGGGTTGGAAGGGACCTCAAGGATCGTGTAGTTCCAACCCCCCTGCCTAGCAGGGCCACCTAACATACACATTCAGATCAGGTTGCCCAGGACCCCGTCCAACCTGGCCTTGAACACGTCCAAGGATGGGGCATCCACAACCTCCCTGGGCAGCCCGTTCCAGGGCCTAACCACTCTCCTTGTAAAGAACTTCCCCCTAACATCCAACCTAAATCTTCCCTCCTTCAACTTGGATCCGTTTCCCCTAGTCCTGCTGTTGTCAGCCCTTTTGAAGAGTTTACTCCCCTCGTGGGTGTAGGTTCCCTTCAGGTATTGATAGGCTGCAATGAGGTCACCCCGCAGCCTTCTCTTCTCCAGGC